TAAAAGCTGGGGATGGGATGGGGCGAGGTATCAATCTCGGAGCGGCGATTAGGAAATTAGAAATTGAAACGACCGAGAGCGATTGGGTCCACTCCGGCTCATTGCTGTTGTTGCAGCGTCTTGTCTTTATAAAGTTTAAACAATGCACTAAAAACTCCTCCCGCAACATAGTAAGGAAAGTAGAACGCAGGCCTACGCGCAACAAAAAAGGGACGACTTTATTTTTCCTTAATTATTTTTTTAAAGTGAAAAGGTGGGGCCGGCCATTGTCTCACGCCAATCACAGAGGGCCAAGAAAAAAAAAAGTATCATAATCATAATGAAGTCCGCTCAGCAAATTAAAGGCGGCAGAAGGGCTCTGGGAAGGGAGTGGGGTGAGTGAGGGGAGTGAGGGGAGTGAGGCGGAGGACAGCGGGCACACAAAAGGGCCGAGCGACTTTTAAATTGTCTCCTCGTTACACAAATGCAAGCAAAGGCCACAACGCTCCGCAGTGTCGCGACGAGTATGGCAGGGCACAAAAATAACTTCCTCCACAACAGCTAATGATGGCAAGTCTACGAAAAATAAATAGGTCGGAATGAAGCCTGCTTTCGTTTAAAGTTTTCTATTTGAACGATATCTATAACAATAACGACCAGGATGTTGAAGAATTTCTTTCATTTTGTTTTTCAATTTGAAAATTAATATCAGCGGTCTCAACTTTCTCCCTCTCAGTCAGTCTCTCCCTCTGCTTTTGTCTCTTTCGGCGAAGCCTCACACAGCGGCACAGGAGGGAGACACACCGGGGCAAAGGGGTTGAAGGCACAAGCCTCCGAAAAGCCCCAACCCCTTAAAATAAAAATAAAACTGCATCGGATTGCCATCGGTGGCTCAAAAATAAGACATTTTCCACCCCATCGAATATATTATGTTAAGGGGCGATGTAATTTCAATGCAAAATAACGCGCAAGGGAAGGGAGGGTGGGGGAAGGAGAAAGGGGAGGCGGAAGTCATTTCCGGTATTGGGAGGACCGGGAGGACGCGCCCCGTGCGGGAGGGGCGCGACCCGCCGAGCCAGACAGACGCAAAAACAAACGTTTTCTCCCGCCCGGCTCCGGCGTAGGCTGGCGCATGCAGCGCGCTGCTCCAAAACCATCCCCCTCTAGTTTAATTTGTGGTCAATTATCAGTCTTAACAGCGTCTGGGGCTGCTGCCGCTGCCTCGTGTCGGGCTTGGAGGGGCTTCACTGCCGGGCTGCTGCTGGACGGCGCCTGGCGGGTAGGCAGCCGCCCGGGCGGGCGCGCGCGCGTGCGGGCGGGCGGCCCACCTCCACGGCGCGCTGCGCCGAGCGGAGCCGGCAGGCGCTGCTCCTTCCCTGTCACTCACCTTGGCGAGCTGGCGCTGCAGCCGCTGCACGCTGGTGCGCTCCCTCGCACAGCAGCGCCTCTCCGCCTCCAGGAGCGCCTCCAGCTCCGACACGCGCGCCTCCAGGCTCTCCTGCAACAACAGAATATTACATCGTGACATTTCTCACTAGATATGACTTTTGAAAAATGTAGAACGAAACAAATTGGTAGCATGCGATAGCAGCAAAACTGTGACTGTGAGTAGATAAATTATTTCCAAGAAGAAGTAGTTTCCCTTGTCGGTTACAATAAATCCCGCAGGAAAGTAAGTATAGCATTAAAACGACGGACAGCTGTTCGGCTCCTTCTTGATCCTGATGCGGGTGGGTCGTGCGGAGACTGCCGCTGTCGCCACTTGGATGAATGGTATGGAACGCCCCAGTACAGCCCACCCCACCCCGCCCCGCCCCGCCTCGCCCCGCGCGCCAGGATGGGGGGAAAGTCTAGTTCTTCTTGCGGCGCCGGCAAACTCCCCTGCAACTGCCGACATGGCGGCGGGGCGTAGGGGGTGGTGGTGGGGCGGGGGGCCGGCGCACAAGTGAATGGAACGGGGGGCCGCCGCACCCTCCGCACTCCCTTACACATCCCCGGCAGCGAGGCGGGGCGGGGCGCAGCAGATCTCGGCAGTAATCCCGTGGCTCTCCGGCTCCTTCTAGGCGGAACCGCCACCCGCCCCGGCCAAGCTAGAGCGCTAGAGCCACACAGACTGCTGCAGCAAGGAGGGGCGTTCAGAAACACCATCATTTTTATTTCGAGCACTTAGTTTCTTTGTAATAATGTTAAAAATAACAAAAATCATGAAATTGGTCAACATCACAAGTAAATGGTCAAGTGACAGAACAAATTTTGTAGGTAATTGGAAAAGTTGTATCGATAAGAGCATTGTTGATTTGAGCCTTGTGAAGTTCGATCACGGCTCTCTCCTTAAGTTCCTTCAACAGCAGAAAAATATGATATCTTTAGAGGGGGTAGATGGAAAAAAAAACTCTATAATCACACAAAAAATGAAATTGACACAGCATTTTGCGAATGCCACCGTTTTCTATATTTCTTCCCGAACCACCCTCTCTGCCCAGAGGACTAAGGGGCCTAACAGACCCGGAGCCGAGCGCCAGACAGACATCATCGGTCCTGTTTAAAGCGGGCGCCGTTGGGGGAGCAGGGAGGGAGAGAGAGAGGGAGAGAGAGGGGGAGAGAGAGAGGGAGGGAGAGAGAGGGAGGGAGAGAGAGGGGGAGAGAGAGGGGGGGGAATTGTAAAGGAAGAAGTTGTTCAAGTAAAAGCTGGGGATGGGATGGGGCGAGGTATCAATCTCGGAGCGGCGATTAGGAAATTAGAAATTGAAACGACCGAGAGCGATTGGGTCCACTCC